GTAAATAACAAAAATGTCTAAAAATAAAGAAATAAGCAAAATGTAATAAATCTAGACAACAAAAGCAGATAAAAATAATCGAAAAATAGTAAATCTAGAATACCAAAAATAAATAAAAGAAGAAAAAAAATTCAATTAATCGCTATAAAAGATATAATAGGCTAATATATTATTACCAGTATTTACACTCCAAATCCTGTACACTAAAGTTTGCACCATACAGATATCGCCATGAGTCCAAAAAGTCATTGATAATGTTTCCTGTAACAATAGAGTTGGGCGGATGCTGTGCTCTCTTACTCTTTAATTAATGATTCGAATCTCGTTTATCATTTGCTACATCGAGTTCTTTACTCCTTGGCTCTGTCTTCAGTTTGCTTAACGTCTAGTCGTTTTCATTCGTTTTGCTGCTTCCGGTTTTCTCCATACCCCATACCGACAACACTCTCCCCTCTTCTTCTCCTTCTTCTGTCTGTAATTAAATAACTTCAAGACACTATCCATTTATTCGCTTCATCTCCCTCTCTCTCTCTCTCTCACTCTCTTTCTCTTCCAAAGACAGACCTCTAGCTTCCGGCATAAGACAGTTTAGTAAATGAATTCGTTCTATTTGATGTACGAGATGAAGATTCATTGTTAGTAAACTTTAGGGAAAATTGTCAAACTCTCAAAATTTAGTGTCACGTGTGTTAATTGAGTTAATAATCACCCTCTCTTCATCTATTCTACCGAAAATCATTTCTGTGTTTATTATAAATAAACTGCTGATACTGATATACTTCCTATACTACTGATATAATTTTTACTAATTAAAAAATTTAATTTTTCATAGCAGTCTGAGTTATATTAATTTTACTGTTTTTAGAATTAATAAGAGAAGAAAAATTTTTATTTCAGAAGAAAGGTTTTCTACTTCTGAGTTTGTATTTATTTTTATTAATTTATTAGGACCAAAATACATGGGAGTAAATAATTTTACTTCAAAATGCAAATTTAGAAAAATTTAGAACGTGTCTGACTAAAAATTCCTGCAACTACTGATACTAAAATTTTAAAATTGTCACTTGCCAAAAAAAGACTCTTTTGAGTGAAAAAACGATCGAGAATAGAGAAGGAACAAATTGTTCAAACAATTTGTCTGACGAAACACTATTTTTACTACTAAGACTAACTTAGTAGTAAAAACTACTAAGAAGGAGGAAACTTAGTTACACTAAAGCTTCATTATACTACTGAATCTACTTTTAGAGTAGAATTTTTACTTTTATGAAAAGACTTTAATAATATTTTAGCTACATTTTTTTCTGACGTACGTTGACTTTTCTACTACTTTGAAATTTATAAGGAATTAAACATTTTCGTTTTTAAAAAAAAAAGAAAAACAATTTTTTACGTTTTACATTATTATTTTACTAGCAACAATTCGCGCACTAAAGCTCGCTGCTAACTTTTTAGGATAAAATTAGCAATTTTAAAAATAATAGAATTTAAAAATTTGCAATTCAAATTTTTGTTCAAAACACTAAAAAAAAAAAATTTTTGGAAAAATTACAAATAATTGCAGAAATTCAATTCTTTTCAAGAGTGATAAAATTCTTCTCATAAAATTCAATTATCTTTCAAATTTAAAAAAAAATTCTCGTCAAAATTACCATTTTCTTTATAAATAACAAAATTCTTCACCAAAGTTCAATTAATTTCAAATCAATTTCAAATTCCCAAAAATAGTACGCAAACATTTAATTATTTTCGTAAATAATAAAAATTTCCCAGGAATTCAATTATTTACAAAATTTTTATAAATTCCTTCGCAATAATTCAATTATTTTAATAAATAATAAAATTTTCTTTTTAGGAATTTAATTATTTTTATAAAAAATAATTAATAATTGTAGAAAATAATAATTGATTTGAAATGATGAAAATAATTAAAAATATTAGAAAATAATAATTGATTTGAAATTATGAAAATAATTTTGAAAAAATGTACTGTAATAATATTCTTATAATATAAAACAATGATTTTATCACTCGGTCATCTTTAATTATTATAAAACATGAAGAAATCGATTACTCCGAGTCTTCGACTCGGAGCAATCGCTATCTTCATGTTTTATAAAAATATTCTTATAAGTTATTGAATTTAAAAAGATTTGAATTTGTAATTTTTGAAATTCTTTATTTCTATGGAAAAATAATAATGATTAAATATTTATTTAAAAAAAAAAGTTTTTGGTGTTTTCGAATAATTTTACAATTAAAGAAATTCGTAAGTAAATGTAACAGAACTTTTATTTGAGTAAAATTTTTCCCTTTATTTTCTAAAAATTTAAAAAATTTCAATTTCATTTTCAATTAAAATTTGTAATTGACAAATAAAATATAATATGTAATGTTTCTTTTCCAAAAGAAGAGAATGAGTTTTTGAACAATATTGTTATTGAGAAATATAAATTATGCATAAAATATTTCCTATTTATTAATTATAATTTTTTAACAATTACCAATTTTCTCATATTTTTTATAAATAAAAAGAAGAAAAATTTACATAATTTAGATCAGTCAAACGAAATTTGTTATAGAAAAAAGCATATAATATACAAAATTTATTTGTTAATCACAATTTTTTTATATTTTCTAATTTAAAATATTGTTTTATTATAAATCATGAAAAAATACCTGCATTTTTTCGATCTGTCAAACAATATTTTTTAAAGAAAAAAAAAACAAAAGCAACGAAGATTATTATAGTTAATTTTTATTGTTTCTATATTAAAACATATATTTTTGATGGAAGTTTTTAACTTTTTTGAGATTTAGAAATTAGTCTGGACTAAAACGAAACTTTACTATTGGAAAGAGAATTACGAAAAAATGGTCTGACTATAAATTACTCCTACTACTGACTCTTCCACTTTAAATGTACTCTAGTATTAGACTAGGAATTTGAAACATTTTTTCCGAGTAATAAATAGTTTTACTACTAATTAAAAATTGAGAACACTTTAAAAAGTGTCTGACTTGAAATTTATTTAACTACTTAATATGAAAATTATAAAATTGTTTCTTATATAAGAAGCTGTCACTTTCACACTTTAGAAAATAAATTTCGAGCTGGACGCATTTAAAGTTGCTCTACATTTTCATTAAGTAGTAAAAGTATTTATAACTCACAGAAAATGTTTCAAATTTCTATTCTAATACTACTGTGCATTTAAAGTAGAAGAGTCAGAAATAAGAGTAATTAATAGTCAGACAAATTTCTTTTAATTATTCTTTCAGTAGTAAAGTTTCGATTTAGTCAGACAAATCTGTTCATTAATAAAATTACTCTATTATATCTGAAATAAATTAATCACAGTCGGGCTTTTTCTTAGTCTATCAGTAGTAAAAGTGATTAATAGTCAGACACATTTATTTCGATGCTTATGTCAGTAGTAATGCCTCATTTTAATCAGACAATGTTTTTCCACAAAAAATTACTTCTGAAAATAAAATACTGTCAGACTGATTTTCATAATTGGTTAGTAGCAAAATTTATTTATATAGTCAGACCGACTTTTTTTAATTCTCCTTCTAGTAGTAAAGGTTCGTTTTAGTCAGACACATTTTTTAACAATAAAATTACATCTAAAAATAAATTATAGGCAGAATTTTTCGTAGTCTCACAGTAGTAAGAGTCATTTACAGTCAGACATAGTTCTTTCGATACGCGTCCGTAGTAAAGCCTTGTTTTAGTCAGACATTTTTTTTTATGAAAAAAAATTATTTCTATACACAAATTACAATCCCACGTTTTTTTTGCACGAATAAGCTTTCGAAATTTTTTAATTCAAGATAAATTAGTTTTTAAAGAAGAAAACATAACTCTAAATAGCAAAACTAATCCTCAAAGTCCCTCATATAAGTTTCTAACGAACTGGGAGAAACAATTTTCGAAAATAAGCACAGCGACTTGTAAAATACTAACGTAAACTGTTCAAAGTTTCCTCGCGGCTGCTTGTCCAAGTCAAAGTCTCGCTGAAAGGGAGAGGAGGCGCAGACAAAACTTTGAAAGTCTAAAAATGCATTAGGGTTGTGCCTATCTTTTTTTTCTTCGTCTTCTTCTTTTTTTTTTTTTTGTTTTTGGGATCACAACTCCCACAGCTGGAGCTTTTAAGTCCGATTTGTAATTCACCGAGTCAAAAGCAAACTACAGTCAACGTTGGCTTAACAAGTGGGAAGATAAAGTTAGAATGTAAAAGTTTCGCTCACCTCCCGTTTGTAAACTATAAATAGAAAAGTCAGCCATAAGAGAAAGTGGGCTTGGGGTGGAGGGGGAAAGAAAACAGAAAAAAAAAATTTTGCATAGAAGCCAAGAATGCCAAAAATAGCACCTCTCTTTTATTTCCAATGAAAATTGAAACAGTGTGCACAAAAAAGGATTATTCCTATTAGCTCGTTTGTAAAATTCTATTATTCAAACGAAATTTTAGTCTCTTTGTACAACCCCCCCTCCCCTCCCCTCTCTTTCCTTGATTTCATTGACGTTTTACCTTTGAATTCAAGTTTTATCTAACTTACAAAAGTTTATGGCAAGTAAACATTATTAAACATGGGATTGTTAACTTTTCAAAAGAACAAATATACCAGATTTTGATGAAGCGTTTACGTTTTCTTAATTTATGAATATCCAACATTCAGGTAATATTAATTTTACTCAAGGGAATGGTGAAAGGATGGAGTGAGAGAGAGAGAGAGGGGGGGGGGAGAAGATTCCCCAGAGGGCAAACATTTGTGAGTTGATTTTGTATCTTAATTATCTCTCTCTCAGGTCTTCCACTGGACAATTTGATTATAATATAAAGTTTCTTCACCGACGGAATATACAAGTGAGAGAGAGAGAGAGAAAGAGGGAGAGAAGTGGCCTTGGCATAAACATTTTATATTGACTTAGGATAATTCCCCTAAAAGTTGATTTTCCTCAGTTTCATGAGTTTTTGTTTTCTTTTTTGTTTCAGGTTTAAGACAGCGAGCAGGGTCTACTGAAGCTCCGAGAGGAGGTAAGTTTTGCAATTTATGCATTCTTATCAGAGTCATGATATTATAATGAAATATTTTTTTTTACGATCATCGTTAAATTGTTTTAAAGGTGTAACTTTTTTGACGAAAGTGTGTGTATATATATATATATATATAAGTGAAACAGAAAAAATTAACTCAATTCATGAAAGAGTATAAAAGTTCATAATAATGGAGTTTATGAGAAAAGTGGCGAAAAGGGGAAAAAGAATTGAAAAATTTGAGGCAAACTAGGGTGCAATTTCGTAATTTGTTTTTGAGTTTGACATTGACATTCACCTTGAAATAAATGAATAAATGAAAATTTTGACTAATAAAAATTTAGAAAATTAGGAAGTTGCAAAAAGAAAATTTATTTAAACATATAATAATAAAATAAATAATTTTAAACAATAGATTTGATTTAAACAAACATTAAATAATTTGATTAATTGATAAATAAATTAAAATTTATCAAATTGAAAAGTAAATTAAAAATTTTGAAAAATTTTAATAAAAGACTTTTAAATACACATTAGAATGAGGATTGTGTAATAATATGGATTGGTGAGCAGGGGGGATTATATATATGAATGCGGTTTGTTATGGTACGTGTGTATATGCATTGTTGGTACTCATTATATGAAACATACAAAATTGGGGACGGGTTAGCATATGCAGAGTAAATGCGGTAGTTGGCAGTGACGAATATCTAAATTTTCGGATGGCGAACCGTGGTGCCCTTTTAAGCCACTCATGCATCACAATCTGGGCTTTAAAAAAAAAATAGCGATGTCATTCCCTTGTGGTCCCGTCACGTCGAAATGGCACTAGAAATAAAATCCGGATGTCTGAATATCTCAAAAAATCTCATCACATTTAAAATATATAGTCCTATTTTTATGAAATAGAAATTCGTATAATGCGTTTTAAAAATTTGTTTTTTAAAAAATAGTTCATCTTTACTTTACATTACTTAACTTTTTATAATTATATAATTATAAAAAATGTGTGATTAAAAAAAACTGATATGCATAATATATAATGATATATTATATTTGAATATTATATATTTAATATAACTTATTTATTTAAAAATTTTTTTAATTCAATTTTTGATTTGAAATAATTAAATGTTTATATTTGTTATTCTTTTATTATTATTGATTATTAATTACAACATTTATTTATATTTTATTAATAAAATTGCTTTTATTATTATTATTATTATTATTATTATTATTATTATTGTTGCTGTCTGACTGAAATTTACTTGTACTACTAAAGCAAGTATATTTAATTTTTAAATATTAATATACTGTCTGACTGAAATTTTTTTATACCACTGAAAAAAGGAAAATTCAATATTTCTATAATACTGTCTGACTGAAATTTACTTGTAATATTTGAATTTTATTAATATACTGTCTGACTGAAATTTATTTGTACTACTGAAACAAACATATTTGAATTTTAATAATATACTGTCTGGCTGAGATTTACTTGTTCTACTGAAAAAAGGAAATTTCAATATTTCCATAATTATCTAAATGAAATTTACTTGTACCATAGAAGAAAGGAAATTTCAACATTTATTTAATACTGTCTGACTGAAATTTACTTGTTCTGCTGAAAAAAGGAAATTAAAGTATTTTTTATTACTGTCATGCCTGAAATTTACTTAAACTACTGAAAATTGTAATTTTAATATTATTTTTTGTTACTATTATTATTGCTAACAATTGTTTTCTTTATTACTCGAAGGAAAGCTACTCTAGAAAAACTTATCGTTGTTCCAAGTAAAGCTTCTTTACATGTACTTTATTTTTTAATATCTATTGTTCTTTGTATAATTTTTATTCTTGTTCTTTATTTACATTTATTGTCATTCTTATAATTTTTTTTAGTACTTGCATTTTATTTTTTATTTATAATTCCCTTTTTATTATTTTTATTATTCTTTCATTTTCCCAGTTAACTTTTGCTTCGAATTTTTGTTTTTATTATTTAATTTTTAAAAATTGTGTTTTTAACATTTGTTGATTGATATCGAATCACTATTTTTCATGTAATAAATTCGTAAATGATAATTATTTCACGTAAATAATTTTTCACATGGTATATTGATATTATTAATTTGACATAATTAGTTATATATAGTCTGACAATATAATTTACGAATGCATTCACGTATTTTAATTACGAGTTTGTTGTTGTTTTTCTTCTTTTTTTTTGCATTTTTTGCTAAAATAATTAACTATAGATTGCGCGAAGCACTGTTTTTATTCGAGATATTAAATAATTCATGTACATTTTTAATTAATGAGAAGCAATAAATTGTTTCGCGTAAAATTTAAATTGGTTATGAAGAGTAAACAACAATTACAAAAGAGCAAATCGCGTAAATTTTAAAATTTAAATTATATTATTTATAAATAAAAGTCAGCATTTTATATTTTTCTCCAGATTTATTTCAATGCTTTTTTTAAATTTTTTTTTTTGATTTTTTTATTTTTATTATTAATATTAATAAATTATTTTATTCATATCTTGTATATATAAATTATAATAATAATAATAGAAGTAACAATAATAATAATAATAATAATAATAATAATATATGTAGGTATAATTATATATTATATATTATAGAATATAGATATATCAGTTTAGTAAAGATTTTAGATATTTTGATTCTGAATTTGACTCTCGTTTCTAATTCTGTTAATAGGAATCAAGGGGTGTGAATGTGGGATAGTCATGGCGTTGGGAAAGTTTAAATTATCTTGTCCAGAGAGACGGAGAGAGAGAGAGTGAGTGAGTGAAGAGGGAAGGGGGGAAATCCCATGAGAGAACTCGAATTGGCCGAGTCTGATTAGTTTGGAGGTCTCTGCAGGACGATATGCTGTCCTTTCTCAGCTTGGCACTGAAAGCAACAATAGATCGCAGATACTTTTCTTTAGTAAAACAACAATAAAAGTTGTTAAGCACTGCGCGGAATGATGCCAATTGGAAATTTGCCGTTGGCAAAAAGTTTTTTTTTTCATTTTTCTTTTTTTTTCTTTTTTAATTCAAGTTGATGAAAATATTTTTCATTTAGACTTTATTTTCTTGAGGCGAAAGAAAAAATATAATGAAGTAAATAAATAATTGACCCACATTGGAAAAAAATTTTTTCGCTCTTTTTAAATAATTATTTTTTATTATTTTCTTCTGTCTTTTAATTGTTATACTTTTAAATTTTGTTCATTTATAGTTGAAACTCTTTTTTCTTCTTTCTGTTTTTTGTTTTGTTAGATTTTTTTTATTATTTCTCGCTTTATATTTTTTCTGATTTATGATTTTTTTCTTGTTTTGTTCTTTTTTTTCAATGATGATTCATTTTTTTTTACTTTTGTATTTTACATTATTCTTTTTTATGCATTGTTATACTATATTTTTATTAATTTCTTCAAGCGAGGATCAATTTTCATGTATTTGGTCAAATTTTTTTGTTTCAAGAAAACTGTCGGTTCGGTATATCAATTTTTTTTTTGTTTTAAAATAAAATAGAATAATGAACAGTTAATAGTTAATAATAACAATAATAATTTATAATAACAGGAATAATTAATAATATCAATAATATTTCGCAAGACAGTAATAATAAATGAAATCAGTAATAGTTAATATGTCATACTAATGGAATTATGTAAAAAATTCTTTTCCACAAATTTGATTTCGTCAAAATTTGTTAATTTTAGTAGAGATAAAAAATTGTTGAAGAAATAAAATTACAGTGAAGATAAAATTCTTTTCCGGGCAGTATTTTTTTTTGACTTCATTTCGCGACACAAATTGGAAGTAAAACTTTAGCACTCCCGCTTAATTTTATCAAGTTTTGCAAATTCACTAGTTTAGGAAAACGAGATTAAAACATTTTGTTGTCTACTAAACCTTATGGGAATGATTAAAGAAAACTACATTCACTACTCTCGTATTTAGTTTTTTTTTCTTCTCTCGTTTTATCTACATATGTAAGCACACAAAGGACAGCCAAAAAGCAAGCATGAAGTAGAAAATAATTATACAGGTCAGGTCCTTGTTATTAAGAGGGAACTTTGTATGAGAACAGTACCAAAGTCACCACGTCAACGTGGTTTCTGCGGACTTCCAACACCGAAAACACCTTCAACCAAATCTTCAACTATATTGCTTTTCATTATGAACTTTATGCAAGAATTTAGCAATTCTTACATAAAAGAAATCAGTTTTAATTGATTATAAATAATTTAAAATCAACCATAACTTTTGTTTGAATTAAACTGTTTAGCAAAGATATTTTAAGTTTGATTTAAACAAAATATGTTTAAACCAAATAAATCATTTTCTCAGTAGTAGGGAAAGTAGAATTTTTGTCAGGAAAATCAGGGATAAGTCAGGAAATTTTATTAAAAGGTATGGAAAAAATTAAATTATAAAAATTCATATGACAATTCTCAATTTTAATGTCTAAAAAGCTTTAAAAATATTAGAAAAAAGTTAATTCTTCTTAAATTTTGTTTCGTTTACTTCTATAAACTTTGAATTCATAAAAAAAAACTTAACTCTTTTTATTTCGGACAATATTTCAACCTTACAGAATATGAAATAGAATTTTTTTACAATTTTCATAAATAATTGAACTTCAAAAGGTTTCAAATTGAAATTTTAGAAAATTTGAATTTTGAATGAATTTAATTAGAAAGTTTGTTCAAATTTAATTTTTTGAAAAATTTTAAATCAAATTCTTTTGAAATTAGTTAAATTTTTTAATATTCCTTAAAAATAATTGATGAAAAAAAATATTCTCTGTATATTATTAAAAATAATTGATTCAGAGAAGAATTTTAAAGTCTAGAAAGCTTTGAAAATATTTTTAAAAATTAGTTTTTCTTAAATTTCTTTTTGCTTGCATTATAAACTTTGAATTTACAAAAAAACTGTTTTTATTTCTGACAATATTTGAAGTTTACAAAAAATG